TGAGTAAATTTCGGGTAAATTTTGAGTAAAATTTTTACTTTATAACATTTGCTTCTCTCAGCTCTTCAATGATTGAAATTATCTCATTTGAATGAGCATTATTTCCTGCATAGTAGGAGGCTGTAAGTAGCCTCAATCGATCAACGAGCTCATTAGGATCATCCCAGTAGGTGAAATTTGTTGATTGATTTTTCTTTGAGATTTTATATTGAGGTAAAAATTTTCTCATTTTGGTTGATAATCCACGACCAATATGATTTGCAACATACATATAGTATTTTTCACTATGATCAGTTCTCAGCTCTTGATTTGGATTATAATTCTTTCGAGCCACGTTTGTATATTTAACAATTTCACGATAAATTCTTTCATCTCTCTCATCAACAGCAAGTTTATTATGTAGTTTTTTAAATAAGAATTCAAGTAGCCCAGGTGTGCTTCTATAAACTCGATCAGCAATGAGAATTTTATCACCCTGAAAAACAATTTCTGAATCTCCAATGTAAAGCATATTTCCTCGAAGTTTTCTTACACCACACTTTGTCTTTATATTTTGATTATTATCTCTAAGCATTTTTATGTATTTATTTATTGTTTCGGTGATTTTGAGGGGGGTGCTTAACATCATATTCGCTGTAGGCTTTTTTCGTTGATCTTCTTCTTCTTCTAAAACTTCTATTCTTTCTACTGATCCCTCCCTTTCTCCCCCCTCCGCTCCTTCTTTCTCGCCTATAGCTTCTCTGTCTTTTCCTTCTGCTGCTCTTTCTTCTTCTTTATCTCGTATTTTTGTACTTTCCATCATTTCACGTTCCAAATTATTTATAGGGATCGGTCTTTTCATAGCTTTTAATACTGCTGCAACTTCTTTGCTTATTCACGTTTCTTTTTTTCCATGTGATCGTTATAAATAGAGAAAATATACAGCTTCTGACTATTGAATTTTCACTTTCTCGAGGTGGCATATTGTCTTTCATTCATTGATATATTAACATTATATTATTATTTATACATATAAATGTATACTTTCAGAATAAAGCCTTTAATTTATACATATGAAACAATCAAAACCTCTTCTATATCATCCATTATTGATTTCACTATCTTTATCGATGACGAGAAAACTATAATTATTTTTATTCCAACATGAAGTACACAAATCTTTAATTTGTTAAAATTTCATATCTGTATTAACATAATCATTATATATATGCCGTAAATTCATTTCATCTTGTCGAAAGAGAATGATAAAATGTACATTATCCCGTATTAGATGTTTTGGGATTCTCGCATAAGTTTGACAAAGATAGAAACCATTAACATCTTTGTGACGACCCATACAAAAACATGCTCGAACATTATCTTGCTTCTCACAAGCTATATCATCAAATATCATAATGGAATTAGGCTGAGCATCATCTGTCTTTACAACTTGTTCATTATCATTGAATGGAAAAAAACCAACGTCATGAATCGGCTCGAGTCGTTTTTCCATGTATTTATATTTAGGCTTGTTCTGACTTGGAGGGGCCCAAGTCAGTGAGTCGGGAAATATTCAAAAATTGTTAATGCCGGACTTGTCCACTGGCGCGTCAGTCAACTCACTGGACCAATCATCGGGAAGTATTTCCCTCATGGCCCAGAACGCAACTCTACGGCCCTAGTGACGCCAACAAGCCCGCGGTCGAGCACTTGTGGCGTCAGTTAGCTCCAGGCAAATCACGCGGTCATCTCTGTATAATTGTTCGCAGTCAAATCGCGGTTTTGTGCAGTCAGCTCACCTTTGGTAGTGCCAAAGACGGTCAAGTAGACGCAGACAACTCTCACGAACATAAGTGAATCACCGAAATTACTCTCATCAGTGCTAGTGGTCCAGTAAAGTCAGTTGTAGTGTCTTTGGGCGCGAAGCTGAACTGGCGTCGACGCCATAGTGCCTCACGGACATTCACATATACATCGCACACCCGAACAACTCTGGTGTATACCGTGAATGTTCACTGTTTCGAGACCTTTTTTTTTGGTGAAAAAATAACCATCAGACAATTCATAAGTGTATGAACAATTAATGTACAGTCAATTCACCTAAACTCAGTGATTATTACCTTCTATTGTTTAAGTTAAGTGTTATTGTTGAATAAAATCTATAAAACCCAAGCAATTCGGTGTTAATAAACTATTTTTTGGAACCTTCTAGCATCCAACCTTTTGTTCTTATTCTGCTCTTATTTATTACAGTCCACTAGTTTTTAGTTCGCTCGTCCGGCTGACTCGAAGTCAGAACAAGGCTGATTGAATGATTTAGAATACAGATAAATTTTTTCAGATCTTAATCCATTTGGATGAGTGATTAGAGCCAACAATGCATTTGTTTTTCCACAATTAGACGGTCCACAAATAACTGAGCGTATAGTATTTGGTAATAATTCACCATGACGTTTAGTCTGTGTATTTTTTCCATTAGTATGATTTTATCAAAATTTTCTACAGATAATTTCAAATCTTGTGGTGTAAACTGCATCTCGATAATAACTGCGCGTAAAGATTTAAATATCGACACTCTTGTAGTTTTTATTTAGTCGAATAATCACTGTCCAGAGTAAAACATCTGAAAAAGGAGCGGGAATACTAAATACAGTCATTAATAATTTACCTGTTGAATTACATATCCTAGACTATCAATTTTGTGGACCGGGTACAAAATTACAACAACGATTGGCTCGTGGTGATCAAAGAATCAATCCATTAGATACTGCTTGTCGAGCACATGATATAGCATATTCTCAGAATAAAGGAAATCTATCAGAGAGACAGTTAGCAGATGAAATACTCGCTAAAAAAGCGTGGCAACACGTACTAGCTAGAGACGCTGGCTTAGGTGGAAAAATAGCAGCGTGGAGTGTTGTGAATGCTATGAAACTCGAGACAAAATTTGGAATGGGATTGAAAAAAAGAAAGTTAACTCACGACAAAAGAGAGTGAAAGGAGGACAAATGAAGAAAAAGAAAACTCTACAACGTAAACGTCGTCTACTTTTAACGAAAAGATCTGACGGCTTGTTACCACTGCTTCCGTTGTTAGCAGGTTTAAGCGCCACAGGTGCCCTAGCAGGGGGTGCTGCTGAGATCGCTGAGGCTGTCGATAGCTCCAGAACAGCAAACAAAAAGTTGAATGAACTTAAACGTCATAATGGAAAAATGGAAGCTATAGCTATGGGTAGAGGCGCTTATTTGAATCGATATAGAACTGGGAAAGGAGCATATCTGAATCGATATAAATTAGGTAAAAGATTAAAAAAAAAAAAAATTCGATAAAATTACCAAAGCGAGCACTAACTAATTTTGATCTGTTAAAGTACACAGAAAAATTCAAAATACCATATTTTCGGAATGTTTTCATGAGAAATGATTTACCATCATCAGGACCTTGGAAAAATAAATCAGCAATTAATAATTTAGATAATAAAGATGGATCTGGAACTCTTCGGGTGGCATATAAAAAAAGAGGTGGAAAAGTTTTATACTTCGATAGTTTTGGTGATTTGAAACCACCCAGAGAACTTGTAAATTATTTTAATGTTAACCAGATGTTATATAACTATAAAAAATATCAAGATTATAATACTAACTGTGAACATTTATGTTTAAAATTTTTAAATGATCAGCTATGAATATGAAGTGAAAAAAATTATATTTCATTTATATTTTAAGTATTATACAGTAAACATTATGAGTGATTCTTTGATATTAACACTTACTGGACATTCATTATTATTGGAGGTTTCATATTTTCCTCCAATTGAATTATTTAATTCAATTCCAAACATATATGAAGGCAACAGTAAATTTCGATATCAAATAAAAGACGAATGGCGTACAATTGAAATTCTAACTGGTACTTGTGATCTTAAAGATATTTACATATTTCTAATTGCGACTGATCTTTAATTAAATCTTTAATTAGGAGTTAAAAAAAGTACACTTGTTACCGAATTATATAGCGAAAAATCAGCTATTGACTTCACATCTGAAGATTCTATCGGTGAATTTTGAGGTTTCGAACGAAAAATTTATGAAGCAGGAGAAATATATAAATCAGAAAAACCAACATCAGTATTGAGTGTTAATGCAATATGTGTAGAGTGTAATATTACAAGTGGTACATACATGAATAATTAATTTGCTCATACAATTCATGCATTTTTTCCATCACTCCCACCAGGATATAAAATTATTGAATCGCCTACAAAAGTCATTTATCTTCCTGTCACAGTGTGGGAAATACATAATTTACAGATACGAGTTGTGGATCAAGACGGAAAATTAATCAATAATCGTTCTGAATCAGTCACTGGGAGGTTACATTTAAAGAGTATATAATGGTAATAGTTTATGGTGATCATTTAGAAGAACAAAGTTATGATAACCATCAACCATGCGCAAATGTACACCGTTTAAAAAAGACAATCTAACGAGCAACATCTCAACAGAAGAAGACGAAAAAAAAGAGGAGAACAGTGAAACAACTGACTCCTCAGAACACTCAATTCCTAGAAAGTCTTGGTTTAGACTTAATTTAAAAATTGTTAAATTTAAATTCAGCTTGTTGTGCTTAATACCATGGAGGCGACGGCATTAAAAATTAATAAAAAAATTGTTCAAGATCAATCTATATCTCATTATGAGATTCATGCCCATCAGCCATATGGTTCATCATTATATAAAAACAATGATGAGATACGTATAGCTGTACAACATCAAGATTTATGTATTTCACCATGTGAAAGTTCAATCTATATTACTGGTACATTTACAAAAGACAATGGGAGTGCTACATTAAACAGATCTTTACTTGCAACAATGTTTGCTTGTTTCTTATTTGAAGAAATGAGATATGAATTGAATAGAGTTGAAATTGATCGTAGTAAAAATGTGGGTATTACAACACTCATGAAGGGATTTCCATAATTTAGACCAGAGCAAAAATATTCTTTGGTAAACAGTGGAATGGTACTTGATAATGAAAAACTATGTGATTCGAATGAAAATTTTGACGTCATCATACCATCAAAATTATTATTTGGATTAGCTGAGGATTATAAACAAGTCATTGTTAACTGTAGACATGAGCTAATACTCATAAGAGCCGACATTGACTTGGATGCAATACATCAAACTGAAATCGCTAATGCGGCAGCAGAAAATGTAAAAATTACTCTTGATAAAATTGAATGGTTGGTGCTATATGTTACAATGTCTGATTCAAAGCAAGTTGATATGTTAAGTTACATCAGTAAAGATCTATCAATATCGATACCCTTCAGTTCATGGGAGCTATATGAATATCCATGTTTACCTATAACAACGAAACACATCTGGTCTGTGAAGACAACAAATCAACTAGAGAAGCCAAGATATATTATATTTTCATTACAAACTGGACGTAAAAATCAATCGTCAAAACGCGCTGATATATTTGATCATTGTAAAATTGAAGATTTCGCTGTTTATTTGAATTCGCAGCGATATCCATATGCTAACATGAATATTGATATTTTAAATAGTAAATACGCACTTTTGTATGATTTGTATACGAATTTTTATTTATTTCATTATAATAAAAACATTAAAAGACCATACTTAAATAAAGGAAATTTTATGGAAGGAGGACCATTCATTGGAATCGATTGTTCAAGTCAAAAAGAATCTATTAAAGCAGGGTCAGTCGATGTTCGTCTTGAATTTGGAGCTACTGAAGTGTTTCCCCTGGGTACAACTGCATACTGTTTAATTTTACATGATAGAATAGTCGGATATGAACCATTAAGTAGACAAATTCGTAAATTGATATAGAAAAAAAAAGATTATATGTTTATATTTAGGTTTAATTTCAAAAATTGTAATCATTTTTCTATTGATATAGAAAAGAAAAAATTAGGAACAAAAGAAAAGTTGAACTTCTTTAAAAAAATCTTATAAATATTTTAGGATTAGAGGTTTTTTTTTCTCATAGAAATAATTCAAAAGCATTCATATCATTAATCTTACAGTTTATTTTAAGAAGAAAACAAATTATATACAATATTTGATACATTTTTTCAATACATATTTATAAAAAACATTAACATATACATTTTTTCAAAATTATAATAATTAAATATTTCCGAAAAGTAATTGATTAGAAGCGTAAACCTCCCTCTTAGGACAATGAGCAATTCTAGGAGTTGATTCACCCCTACGAACTTTTAATCCGTCATGCTGAAGACAATTCAATGTTTCCATTTTTTCAAATAAGTCCGGACGTCGTTCCCGCAATTGATTATATAATATTTCGAATTTTGGACATCCAAGCTTCTCAATATTATAACTCTAAATTCCCAAGAATGTGAGTTTGTCTCGTTCAACTGATCTACCTTTGTACCCTATGATTCCTTCCAAAGCAAACTTGCTACTTCATCGATTCCACGCAAGAAATCATCAATTGCTCCTTGATTCTGATGATTGCTGTTATTATCCATTTTTAATCAATGGACAAACATGGTAATGAAGCGTGCTGATGTATAATCTTCTTGTGACAGTCTATGTTCTCCAATACTATAATGGCTGAATATATTTCACTGCTCTCAACTCGAATACATGATATTTCTTTGCAGTATAATTTTTTATTTATGCTGAAGCCATCCATACATGATGTGTTTTATTTTTAGATAATTTTCCATAGTTCGATAAAAATTTCATCATTCTTAAACAACGTATCAAATAATCCTTTAGAAACTTGTATATGAATAACTTGTGAAGGTGTTCTTTGATGATTAAACTCATGCATCAATACATTCATATCAGGAATATTATGAGTGTTATAATTATGGATGTATCGATTGATTTTGTAGTAGTCATTTTGTTGTTCTATATCATCTTTATTTATAAAACATTCTTGATGAATAATCCAATAATCGATATCTGTATATGTATTAGTATATCCCAATAGATATGAAGCGAATCCATTTCACTTTCTCATATTTATAATACAATTTTACAAGACTTATGTCTGAAGCAAGACTGGTGATTTTTGAAAACGAATCTCCCAATAAATAGAGGGTAGGCCTTCCTCCTCACTTTTTTTCTCCTACTCGTGTTTTCCCCACAGGACATTTTTCTAGATTTCATAGTAACTTAAGATAATGCACCTGCAAGCCAATGCATCACATTAGCTTCGGTCGTCAAGTTTAAAGGATCAAGGTGATTTACCAAGATTTTCCCGTTGTCCACATACCGAGACACAGCACACCTACACTTAGATTACATCCCATTAATTATTCAGTAAGATGTCCCCATCTATGTTTGACACCTTACCTCAGGAATCCTCCCTCAACCCCCCACCTCAACAAAACCTAAGTACTCCCTTACTTTTCACGTCTACAGCTATGAGAGTTCTACCACAAAAAACCTTAAAAACACCCCCCGCCCCTCACTTTTCACGTCTACAGCTTTCTACCACAAAAACCTTAGAGACACCTTCGCCCCCCCCCCACTTTTCGCGTCCACAGCTATGAGAGTTCTACCACAGCACTCTGAAAAAAAAAAAGTGTGGTAGAACTCTCATAGTCTATCTACTATTATTAATGAGCCATAACTCTGTGCACAAGTGTCGATAGAATGTGTAATAATATGAAACAAACACATTTGTAATTTTTGTCTCATCCTGTCTAGATTATTCTCCAACAACTCTATATTACTAGCTGATATCCGCGAGTTCGTAGTTTCAATAAGGCAATTCTGGTTATGCATTGCTTTGCGATAGTATAGAAATGTACTTTTACAATGATTTCATTGCTACAAATAAAAGAGGTTCGGTTCCGTTCATGTTACATTGTCAGTAACTTTGTTTCCTTGAAAAAAAATTAATTTCAATATGCAACTGTTTTCCACAAGAATTTCATGGTATTATGGCAGAAGTACCTGTCATAAACTCTACACCAAGAAATCATTTATTACACAATTATTATTGCACTTACACTCAAAAACTTCGTGTTTCACCCTGTACGCCACTTTTTGCACATAAATAAATAAATAAGCATAACATAAATAAATGAAGCATAACTTGCCAAGAACTGTTTTTCGATTACTCATCTAATCTCACTCTTTTTCTCTCAGCAGATAGCGCAACAATGCTATCTAAGAAGTGCAAAATTGTCGAGCGATTTCATGCCAGTGCATGTCAAAAATACTTAGGGCCCTAAGATAAATGACAAAAAGCATAATATCGTTAGTCCCAATCTCACTTACTCATATTTCTATGCATGTGTTACACATGAAAAAATATGAATGAAAATGAGAAATCCTTATGTTAGTATAAAAAGAGAGTTACATAAAAATAGGCAGTGAGTCCTGATAGCTCACAACCATGCTTAATCCAAGCGAGTAAGTTATTGTTATTTTCTACTCGAAAACGTGATTAAAATAAAGACACCTGAAATTAGATCAAAATAACAATCATTTATTTTTTCAATTAACAATTATACCAGGTGTTGACAAAAATACTAGAAAAAAAACTTTGTATGACTTCGATATGAATAATAAGATCCCATAGTAGGTTGTGCCATACAACCAAGCAAAAGAAGTTGAACCAACCGGAACTAAAAAGACTGGAGGACGCGGGTTAACTCAAGAGGGTCCAACAGTGAACAATAAACAGTCTCAAACAGTTAAGACGCAAAGTCATCAGGCGCGGGTTTACTGTATAGGATTCCTGATGATGTGGTTACACTAAACTCTCGCTAGAGCACTACAAATTTTTACAACTTGCTACTCTAATACAAATAAAACTTAAAAGAATGATCTCTATTCAAATACGTCGCGCGTAATTTGCTGTAGTATCTCATAAAATACTACAACATTTAACATCTTTTCATGTCGTATCTAAAAATTAAGGAAATGATTTTTAAGAGTCCAGCGCGTAGTTTAGTATTTTATCTTAGTAAGTAAAGAAAAAAAGACTTAATTTTATAGATGACATAGTACTCCATTTGATTTTAAATATTTGTGGTGTTTCAAAATTTTTCTAAGTAATTATTTAAAAATGAGAATTTGGTTATTCGCAGAGTCATTTAAAAAGTGTACATGGCGCAAAATTTTACTTTTATCCGATGATGGCAGTTTTAGTAGGATACTTCAAACACTTGAAGGGAAATTCTGAATAAGATTTATGCTATCAAATGTTTATTGATATTTTGATCAAACATTCAATCTACAATTTTTTACGCACTGTAATGTCTGAATGTATTTTAATTATTTCACATAATTATTTAAAATATATTTTAAGAAAAGCTAAAAATGAATAGCAATAAAACTTAAGGATTGAGGTTAACGATTAATACTCAAGTTATTTTTTGAGTTTTCCTAAGATTTCGTTAAAATAAAAAGGATTTCGAAGAATAGTTGAGGAAGTAATTTTTTATATATTTTATTGCTTTTGGAAAACCCACGTGGCGAAAAGCAATAATACTTTAAAAAAAGAGTACATGACGTCAGAAGTAATTATGTCACATTCGACTAAATAAATACGTAAGGTTTGATGCATCAGTCAGTTGTCGTAAAAGTAAGATCGAGATCAGATCGTCGTGGAACATCTCTTAAAATCGTGAGTCTCGTTTTGTCTTGAGTATTGTATTGATAATACTTCAAAGTTTGTAAATTTTTGTATGAAGTTTATTTGATCGTCAAATTATTTTTAAATTGATATTTGAATTAATTCGCGAGTAAAAGTGAATAATTGCGCTGACTGGAACATCGACTAAGGATCAATTAATTGTGATTCATCCCGACCAAAGTAAAAGAAATCATTTGTTGGTAACGTATTTGTTGTTAATTGTTGTTATAATTTTCCAATAATTTTCATTCAATAAAATTTTGTTATTATTTTTATATAAATCACACATTTTTACTCTCTCCATCGAATATCCCCTTATCCCTGTCTATTGGTCGAAAGGCTAGGACCAAAAAGAGGAACTCAAAGTCTTTAAGGTTAAGTATATGGTTTACGTATTGACACCTTTAAAGAGCAAAATTACATAACAATTTTAAGGGGCTCCTCCGGGATTACAATGATCTTCTATGGAGAAATAGTTGAAATTTCTGATAATTCTGGAGCATCTGATAATAATAAACAAAGTTATTCGTTGAGAAGTACCGGTGACCCACTATATCCTGAAGGTTTAGCTCTGCCTACTAGACCTAAAAGTTTCAAGTTTGTTGATTCGGGTATCGGTGATCTAACAAAAATATCCAAATCGAGTGAACTCGTTACATCTGACGAGAGTGATAATAGTGACGAAACAATAAATCAAACTCAAGCTCACGTAGAGACGGAATATTTAGATGTAAATATAACGGAACAAAGGGGAATGTCTAATAATCAAAATATATCTCTCAAAGACGCGTTAATATGCATTCCTATATTTACGGGCAAACCAGAAGAATTAATTGATTTTTTAAATTGTTGTGAGGAAGCAAAATGTATGTTACCAGAGCAAGTAGAATCAAATCTCACTAAATTAATTTTTGGTAGTAAATCATCTCCTTTACTTAAAGATGCATTAAATGAAATAACATATAGCACTGTAAGTGAACATATAAGAGACCTTAAAAAAGTTTATGTTCCTTCTAACTCACTCTTTCAGTTGCAAGGTAAACTAGGAAGAATGTTTCAGAAAGATCATGAACTAGTAGTAGACTTTGTTAATAGATTACGGAAAAAAGCAAAAGAAATAGTAGAATGTTTCAAATTAAATAATCCGACTGCTACTCCGAATAGAAATAGAAATAGAATTACAATTAATTGCGCGGAAAGAAAT